CAGCCTTTCACTAACACTAACAATCCTCACTTCCAAAACGAGCGTTTCCTACAAGAGTGCCCCACAAGAGTGTCCCACAAGAGTGTCCTGTAAGAGTGACCCACAAGAGTGTCCTACAAGAGTGTCCACCCGGAGAGGCTTCGAGTCACGCTTTGAGTCTGCAAGCGAATGTTTTTTGCGAGACGTCCTCCAAAAGTCCGACGTCAAGTCTCCAAAACGAGCGTTTCGTACGAGACTTCCTCCAAAAGTCCCGCGTCAAGTCTCCAAAACGAGCGTTTCGTACGAGACTTCCTCCAAAAGTCACACGTCAAGTCTCCAAAACGAGCGTTTCGTACGAGACTTCCTCCAAAAGTCACACGTCAAGTCTCCAAAACGAACGTTTCGTACGAGACTTCCTCCCAAAGTCAAGCGGAAACACCCATCGGAGCACCCATCGCGCAGCCCTGCCAAGCAGTTTCGCGATTCCAGCCCCTCCAAATAACACCCGCTCACACGCCAATCCCAATGTCACAGCGACATTCACCTCTACCACAACAACTCACAACCTCACGATTCCCTGCGCCTGCCACGAATCTTTGCGCGTCCACTCGTCTAACGCGCACAAAGTTCTGCGCCTGCCACGAAATGTCACCTCCGTCACACATCGCAACCTCACGATTCCCTGCGCCTGCTACGAAAATCGCACTTCCACACCTCAAAGCCCGCACAAAGTATACTGCGCCTGCCACGAAAAGTGACAATATCATCTCATGTGAGCTTCAACAAAATTTGCACCACACCACACGTTTGGAATGATTTCGGCCCGTTCTGAGCACACTCCCATCCACCAAAATCACCATTTCAGCTGAGACTTGTCACGAAAACAGCGCTTCGATGCCACACCCTGAAACGCAAACCCCAATGGCACGGCCACATCCAACACCGTCCCCGAATGGATGTGCAGTACCAGATGTGAAGAAGAATATCGTAAGCAGCGGATGTCAGGCTCGTTTGGATCGGACGAAATTGTAAACGATGGGTTTTCTCTCCCCAGAGCAGACATTTGGCGAACCATTCTCGGCCCAATTGCAAAGATATGGACTTTGGTCGACGCAATTGTTTGTGCCTTTTGAAGACGCCGGTACAACTGAGATGAACTTCCTTGTCTTTCCGCAGCCACTGATGGCAGATATTGGTGGACATGCGTTGGCGACTCCCATTGTCCGTCATGGATTCACTGGCTTTGTCGAGACCATTGCGGTTAGATGCCTCCCAGTTTGTTCACCGAATGTGCTCTGTTCCATCAGAGCTTTGTGAAGGAAGCCATCAAGGCATGGTCTACTTTCGGTATCAAGACCTGGTGCGTGAATTCCGTGGATATGAACGCATTGGTCTGCCGGCCGGGGCGCATGTTCAACTCCACAGGGTTACATCTGATGCCTGTGAGCAACAGCTACCGCAGCAACGCCCTCTGCGAGAACATCGACAATTATTGACTCCAAGAGCTGCGAGAGATGAAGATAGGCTTCCCCTCACACGAGATGAAAGTGCTGATACGGCAACTATCCCTGATCCAGGAGCCCCTCCCGGTGAACAGAGTGATCTGAGCAGCTTTATGCAGTATAGCCCTTCTCCTGACCGAAGTGACCCGGACCTCACTTATGTGCTTCAGGCTCTGCGTTTTCATGAACTACCATGACATTGCACTCGAAAAGTTTTCCTTTGAAAGGGTTCAATGTCATGCTTGGGAATCGACTCGTGGTCTGGTAATGTAGAAGTGCACATGCCTGGAATTACATCAACTTCTCACATGCCGGGAGATGCTGGCGCTGCTTTAGTTGATGACTCTGCCAGTCATCTCCGAAAACAAGAACGCTTTGAGTGCTACGCTTCTATACAAAGTGACTGCATTCGGGTTCGTGGGTTCTATCAGGTTTAAGGCTTTAAGGTTCACGCAGCTCAGTTTTGTGCAAAGCCAACCAAACACATTCTTTCCACGCCAGGTCATTACAGGGAACACGTATTCGGCCTATTGTCCAGACGGCTACACTTGGGTGGCTCCTTCTTGCAGGCGACGACGGCTCCAGTGACCTAGGCAGAACGTACAGGTACAGTAGGCCAGCCGATGGGCTAGGTTGATGTTCTGTTTAGTGAGCTTTAGGGGGTGTGGGGGGGTAGGTCAAAAGATGTTTTGGAAGTGTGAGCCCGGAACCTGCTGGGAGAGAGCGAATGTTGCAGTATGACGGCCTTGGTGATGCGAGTGATGCCGCAACGGTTGATACAGTCATTCTTTTTGCGTGGGTGTGTTTTGGACTGCTTTGGCAAATTTGTCGGTTCCAGTGCGATAACTTTTTGTTTGACTTACACTTACAGTTTTTGAGTTCGTGGAGTCAAGCCACGCGTGAAAGGAAAGCTATACAGTCAGCGTGATTTACAGAGATCTAGATGCAGAGAGTCGATTAAAAGCGCTTCGGCCGCATGTCTGGGCTGGTGCCCCCATATTGCGTTGTGTTTGAAGGCCGCCTCGGGCGCCTCTGAGTAAGTAGCCAGAAGGCCCTTGACAAAGCGGGACACGGCAATGCCCCAGGCGCACTCCTTGGCCTTTTCGTTTGGACGGTGTGGACACGTGGACAGTGGACACACCTGGCTTTAACGAAAGCGCCGGAAAGGCCGGTTTTGCTTGGAAGGTGCTGCTTGCGCAGTTTTGACCCGCAGTGAAGCTCTGTAATAGTATGTAAACTTTTTGGCGGCTTTGCTTGCGGCCGCCGTTGCTATTGACAGTGCTCGGGGCATCATGTTATTATGTGGGCATTGGGCGATGGAGACCAGATTTTGATTCTCTCTATTCTGCTGGTGATTTGTTGGAACAATTAAACCCCAGTGCCACTTATAAAACATACCCAAGAAGGAATTGCCATTTACCGGACAGAAAGCGCGCGCCGGCATTATGCCGGGCAGTCGAAAGAAGGCATGTTTTCTCCTCCCAGTTTTGGATGGCATGGACGGGCTTGTTCCCTCAGTGTCGAAGAGCTTGGACCGGAGTTCTCGAGTTTGCGATCTACTTATATAGGGCCAAAAGTCCATGTTGCATTGGATCTACCGGAGCAGCTCGTAGATGTTAAATGGTGCCGGCTTAGACGCACCCCGCATGGTCCAGTCATTTAATCTCTTTAGGTTTTTGCAACTTCTTCCTGCAATGTTTTTTGGTTTTCGCAGGTTTGATCTCATGCCCATCGAAGGCAACTATGAGAGGAATGAATTTTCATAAACGAACAGGTCAGACTCCCAAGCAGAATGCAATCGAACAATCTGTGAAGTGGTTTGGGCAAACCTTTCCAAAACAATCATTGCGACCTTCTACCGTAAACTTTGGCATAAATGGCCTTTGCTCCAGTTGTGTTATTCCGTTTGTTTTTAGTTTCATCTCAAACCCAGGTTGACTAACAATAAATCCAACGCCGAGTGGTTTCATGTGTTCCGTGTTTTGTGTGGTTTTTTCCCACCTGTCAGGTGAGGGTTGTTAGATTTTACATCAGCCCCATCTCCTCCTCCGCCTCCTCCGCCTCCTCCCGGACCTCAACCACGACCATCCAGGCCCAGTGTTCCCTGCCGGACCTCAACCGCGAGCTCCAGACCCAAGTGTTCCCTGCCGGACCTCAACCACAACCATCCGCGCCCAGTGTTCCCTGCCGGACCTCAACCGCGAGCTCCAGACCCAGGTGTTTTTACCGGACCTCAGCCGCCCAGTGTTCCTGCCGGACCTCAACCGCGACCTCCAGGCCCAAGTGTTCCCTGCCAGACCTCAACCACTGCACACGACCGAAACCACAATCACAAACACAATCTTACCACCGCAAACACAATCACAAACACAGTCATACCACCACAAGCGCAATCACAAACACCCGACCACAAACACACTACAGACTGTTGTTTCACGCTAGCATAGTGTTATCTATGTCTCACTCGTGCTACTTTGGCTCAAGGCAAAACAGGTGCGACTAGGTGGCGTTTATCGGTCGTTTACCTGTAACTACAGGTTATCAGCCGTATCGCCAAAAGTGCGGTACGTGCTTGGTCCTAGCCCTGGTCTCACCCACCATAGATAGTGCACTGTCTAGAGGCCATGGCTGATGATGAAAGTTCCCGTGGTGACCGCTCGCGTTCAGGCTACGTTCCCACTTCGCCTGCCATGTCCAGCTCACCTGCATTGGAGCTCCCTGTTGTTCCGCTGGAGTTGCGTGCGCCAAATGTGCCACCGATGCTCAGTGCACAGGGGGACCTGTTGCCTAGTGTTCAAGCTCCGTCGCCGTTTCAACCTGAGTTCTCTCCTGTGATGAATGTCCAGAACGTTGATGCAAGACAGATCCACCAACAAGCAGTCTTCGTCAATGAGGATAGGTCAGCTCAGGTAGCTCAGATTGCGGAATTGCGGCATCAGGCCATTTTGGCCGAGCACGGGCAACAAGTAGCAGATGATGCTAGGCAATATAGAGACTTAGTAGAGAACCAAGCTAGAGTGGCTATCCAGGAGTCTAGGGAACAAATTGAGGCTTTAGCCAATCAACGTTTGAGTGACATGAACCAAGCCCATCAAAACCAACAACTTCATGAACAGAGGGCTTATTTAGATCGGATTTCGCTCGAACGACACTCCGTCGTCGAGAACGAACGCGCCTCTGCAAAGCAAAGGGAGGATGCACTTCGGTCAGAATTAGCTGAACAGAGCCGAATTATCAAGGAGTTGCGAGAGAGATTTGACAACGCCTCGGGGAACCGAGTGCCTGCGCCATCAGTGCAGCCACCTGGATCCCAAGGATCCCCAGCTTTACCTCCGGCGAGCCTTCGCACTCAGCTGGAGAAGCCCGGGAACAAAGGCGATGACGATCTTCATCCGTCCAATGCTGATGACGAAGGTGATGATAAGTCCAAGAGGGATAAGAAGAAGAAAGGAAAGGAGAAGAAGAAAGAGAAGAGCCCAAAGAGATGCCGATCAAGAGAGCGTAGGAAAAGACGTTCTCCTTCTCCGTCGCCTTCGTCACCTAGCGCAGCAAGCGGAAGTGACAGCTCCAACGACTCAAGCTCTGAATCTTCGCGTCTTGCACGCATCATCCGCAAGGAGCTGAAGAAGCAGCAGAGAAAGTCAAAAGATAGAGATCGTGAGAGCAAAGCCAAAGAGGCTGATAAAGTTCTCATTCCCAAGTTTCCCACGCCTGAGAAGTACAGAGATTGGAAGATCAAGGTGAGGGACAACATCGCTGCGGCTTCAGCCAAGCCAGATGAAGCTCGAATATGGGTTGGGAAAGTGTACAAGGATTCCCAAACCATTGACGCATTAGACGATTCAGAGGGTTTTGCAACCCTTGACGCAAAGCTTCTAGCAAGCTTGACTAATTGCGCTGTGGGGGACCTTGGTCGTCAAATTGCTACCTTCAAGGAGCTGCGTGCTCGTGAAGACAAGAATGTGAAGGGAAGGCATTTGCTCCTTCGCTTTCATGAGTACTTTGCGACAAGCATCAAGCGTGGCGCAATCTATGGTCTTGAAGACCTTATGTCCGTCAAGATGATCAACGACGACCTCAAGGGCTTTATAAACAAGTGGGACAGTGTCCTGGCCGGAATGAAGAAAGAACCAGAAGACAGTGTCCTTGAAGCTTACTTCCATCTGGCAGTCAAGCGCTTTAAACCCCTTGAGCATGACCTGGCCTTGTACGATCGAGCAGCTGATGGTAGTAAAGAAAGGTCGTATGACTTCTTGATCACAGCTGCGAGGGCCTATCTTGAACGGAAAAGGCTTGAAAAGATGCGTGACGCCACCAAGCGTTCGCTCGGGGCAGCAGGTTCCAGAGCAAGCTTCGAGCAGGTTCCAGCACAGGTTCCAGACCCGGAGCAAGGTCTGAAGCAAGTTCTGGCAGTGCTCAGTGCATTCCAAAGCAGGTTCCGGAGCAACTTGCGGAGCAGGTTCCCGAGCAAATTCCGGAACAGCTTCCAGAGCACGCCTTGGAGCAGGTGCCGGAGCAAGTTCCCGAGGGCAGGTGCCGGAGCAGGCTTCGGAGGAGGTTGGAGAGGAGGTAGGAGTTTCCGGAGGAGGTTTTGTTGGAAGTGTCGGAGCACTTTGCAGATACGCCAGCATTTTTTTTGAGGTGCTGAGGTGTTGCCCCGCTGAATACGCTAACACGGTCCGCGTTGTCGCGTTGATATGCTTGCGCGGTGTCGCGCTGACATGTTGTTTTTCTGGCGCGCTGCCAGGGGTCACGCAAACATGGTGACAACTTTGTCACGCTGAAACGCTGAAGTCGGGTCATGCTGTCGCGTTGGCTTGCTGGCCGGCTCCGGAGCAGGTTCCGGAGCAGGTTTGCGGGTTCTTGCTTGTAGTGGCGCAGTTGGGCCTGCGCATATGTGGGCACAATGATGTGTGCTATGCCGACGTGTTGATCGTATTGCTGTGCTGGTATGCTTTCGTGGCACATTGAAAAGGCTGGCCCACACTTTATTTTTGGAGGCAACATTTTTTGGGAAGGGCGACACTTGCTGGTGAACTTGCGGTAGTGCCAGTGCTGCCAGTGCCTATAATATCTATAATAAATGGATGTTGATGCCCTGTCCAGGCCAGCTGTTGGAGACTTCCTTGGGCCTTGGGTTTCTTCATTGAATTTTGTCGGCCCGTAAACATGTTCACACATGAACCGATTATATAATTAAAATTGAAGTCGGTTGTTTAAAACCTAGTCGCAGTGTTCTTCTACTGTCCCGGTGTGCAGGAGCAGTCCTTTGTCATGCATCATGTTCATCACTGGTGGCGATGGTTGGGACTTGTCGCAAGGCCAGGCCAAGAACATCACAGACGTGGGCCATCTTCAGCTGGGGCCCGGGGGGTGCAGCAGTACTACCCTAATTGGCTGCCAGGGGTCTCGGTGACATGCCTTGACAATCCTTGACATATGTATATACTATACTTGAGGTACTTGAAGTTGGCAAAAATTCGATCACTTGGGAATTTCTACTTGCGAAATGTTTATGAAACAAGATATGAATGCAGTACGATGACACTTACTATGTTTTTAATGCAGCATGTTCAAAACAAATATGACAAACATATGAAAACATATGGTTAATTTCATTAAGAATATCAAAACAAATCATAGCAAAACATAACACAATCATAATGAAACATAACATAAGCATAGTAAAATCGCAACAATCATTAAACCACATAAAAGCCAAATGTTGTGCATTTTTTGACACAAATTTGTGAAATGTATGGGCGATCACACATTTACCATATATTATGGCATATGTTTTTTAATATTGTTTCACAGTAATAAAATCGTTTTTTTTAACAAACCATAAATTTCATCATATTTGTTCTATAGTTGTTTCATTAATAGATAAGTACACACACAAAGAACCAATAAATGAACTTTTGCCGAACTTGTAATATCTCAATACTATACATGTAGATATGCAAATATATACAGAACACATAGATATTTTTGTGGATTTCCTACGACGGTAACGTGAGGGAGAAGGTGCCGGAACTGTCGACGATTGTTTTGCCAACCCAAAGTATGTGCAGACTTTGGCGCGAGGTTTGCAGCGAAGTGCTGTCTTTAACATACCCTTGATGATTGGAGTTGCGAATTCTTGGGCCAATTATTTGGCCCTCCCGCCGAAGTACACAGCTTTGATCCTTGGCTTTGCTTCATTATTCTCCACTCTTGCTGAAGCGACCAAAACACCTATAATCAAAACATTGGCTGATGGTCCTTTTAGAAGGACGTGGGCCATAGAAAGACGCACCTCTGAACTCTTGACATGACTCTTGCAGGTATGATCCAGTTTACACACGGCGATAAGTGGTTTG